TTAGGGTAGGTTTGTAGTGGTTTCAGCTCACAGTCAGCTGGCTCCAAGGCAGGGTGGCACAGCAGAGGGCATCGCAGAGGAGAAACAGCTCATGGCAGGCAGAAGGCAGCAAAGTAGTAAAGGAGAAGAGAAGCAGCAAATGACGAGCAAGGACAACAGCATCCCTCTTTCTGTCTCTTATTTATTTATTTATTTATTTATTTATTTATTTATTTATTTGGTACCGGGGATCAAACTTAGGACCTTGAGCTTGCGAGGCAGGCAGCAGCACCACTGAGCTAAATCCCTGGCCCCTCTGTCTCTTGTATTTTATTCAAGTTACCTGCCCTTAGGGCTGCTAGCACTCATACCCTTAATTCCTAGCATGGCACCATGAATCAATCCCAGCATCATATCCTTGATCCCAATATCACACACACAGATTCATTCTATTGGGATTCATGGAATTACTGTCTCCATTGTCTTTCTCTAGAATGTCCTTCAGAACTTTTTGGAGTCCTGGTTTGGTGGTCATGAATTTCTTCAGATATTCTTTATCATGGGAGTGCCATATTTCTTCACCAAATTTGAAAGATAACTTTGCAGGGTAAATTAGTCTGGGTTGAAAGTTGTTTTCTTTTAGATCTTGAATTACTTCACTCCAAGCTCTCCTTGACTTAAGGGCTTGTGTTGAGAAGTCTGCTGTGATTCTGATGGGTTTTCCGCTATAGGTAATATATTTGTTCTCTCTAATACCTGTTAGTATTGTGTTCTTGTGTTGAATTTCTGGAATCTTGACTATTATATGTGTTGGTGTAATTTTTTTTAAAGAAATTGAATTGTATTGAAGCTTGATGATTCCCATAGTAAAAAGATTACAATAAAACTCTAGTTGTTGGCTAAGTTCCATTAATTTTTAAAAATTCTCTTTGACTTTTTCTCCTGGTCTTCTGTTATCCTCTCTGCAGGTCACTTCTTTAATTCCTTCATTTTCCTTGTTTGTGGTTTTCTTAGGTCTTGTTTCTCCATGTGAATCCTTCCATAAGTTGTACCAAAAGTATCATGGGACATATTTTTCTTCTTCTTTGGCTTGAGAGCTTTTGGCATTTTCATGGATAACTTATAAATGCTATCTGAGGCCAGGTGTGTCCTCAGAACCAGATCCAATGAAGGTCCCATCTCTTCTAACTCAATCTGTGGTGTTCTGCAAGCAGATTCCTTCAACAGCAACTTATAGCTTTGAAAGTCAACCTTCCCCTTCAGAGCAGTGAAGTGCAGAACATACTCTAACCTAGCCAGGCAGGTGATTGCTACTGTGGGGCCTCTAAAGAAATCAATGAGAAGACTTTTTAGTCTTCTGTAGTCTTCTGTAGTGTCAAAATCATCACCAGCAAATATTAACATGGGTTTTGTTCCCTCAGGACATTTACTGTTCTTAATATCTTTTAGAGACACAAATTTCTCAATAACTAATTCAATCATATCCAGCACATGGTAGTCATACATACCACCTATTACTAAGTTATTGGGCTGCTTCTTATTATGGTATCCAAACATGAATAAAGAACAATCTGACTTCTTTTAAAAGAACTCCAGTGATGTCTGGTCCTCACATGGTCTTGTAATATTTTTCCACATCTTTCAGTACTTGTGTCACTGTTGAATTTGCATTTCCCCCTTTGATCAGCATAGCATTTTTATTATTTTCACTGAGTTTCGGTTCTCTCTTCTCAAGGAATCTCTTGGCCCTTTTTGTTTTGGGCTTTATAACTCGGTCCAAGGTGTCCATCGCTACCACTTCAGTCTAGCCAATCTGGTGTAATGTTTTGATCATGATTATTTGTACGTCTATATGCCTCACTTTATCTGTATTTCAAATCGCCCAGTTCTGCTCTACTCCTCACATCCAGTTCCACTCCCAATGCCATTGCTGGCCACCTTTCACCACCTGCCCTTCTAGTCTCTGTCCTTCACTTCATCCCAAGCCTTATGTGGGATTACTGACAGACAGATGAATTTACCAGGGACAGTGGTGTAGACTGACTTCTGGGAGAGCTGCCTCTGGACCATAGCCTTGGGCAATTAACATCTGCTAACTGGTTGATCCCTTTGCTTTGGGTCTGAAAGGGATTTGGACTCTAATAGTGGGAAGCTGAGCCCAGCCCAGGAGAGGAGAAGCCAGTTCTTTAGAAGCTGACAGGAGAGAATGGTAGAGCAAGTCCACATCACAGGGCCCCTGTATTCATGTCCCTGCTTCTGCCTAGAATTCCATGAAATAAGCCATCCCATGAACATTCACTTCTACTTTTTGGGGGGTAGGTCAGAGTTATTGTTGAGCATGCTGTTTTATTTGAAGGTACAATTATTACAATTTAGGGCCCACCATAATATCTCATCTTTTGTTTTTCCAGTACTGGCCATGAACCCAGGAACTTTTCACTGAACTACATCCAAGCCCCCTATTTTAAAATTTTGAGACAAGGTCTTGCTAATTTATTAAGTTATTCAGGCTGGGTTTGAACTTTGGATCTTCCTACCTTCGCCTCCCAGAGTGCTGGGATTATAGGCATGTAGCATCACTCCCAACTATAATCTCAAATCTTAATCTGTAGGGGAAAAGAACCGACCTGGCCAACCTGATGCCACCGCTGAGAGCTGCCCTCTGGCAGTGACAGGCTGGTTTATTCCAACTCCCTGTAGGATCATCCCAGCCTCAAGTTGTAACTGCGACACTGTTCAACTTCACCCTCTGCCTCGCCTGGCTAATCCCTCGGCCTGGTGGCACAGACCCTTCACCCTGCCCACACAGACTTTCTGGCTTCCACCCCTGGCTTTGGGTCTTCCCCGTGTAGATCCTTCATATGAACTTGCATGAGACATTGCCTGGGCTCCAGGCCTTCCGCTGGACTTGTGTGGGACACTGCCGTGGGATCCGGGCCTTGGCTGGATTTTTCGGGTCTCTAGCGTGTGGACAGATCTCTTGCACTCTTCTCCAAGCCAGGCTGCCCAGGAGACCAACTCTGCAGTGGAGGTCTACACTTAGGAAGTGCTCAGGGATCAACGCCAGTGAGCTGAGAAGGACACAGGGTTGGACAGAGGGTGACAGTGGTGCAGTTACAACACAAGGCTGGGCTGGTCCCACAGGGAGTGAGAATGAGCCTGCATGTCACTGCCAGTGGGCTGCTCTCAGTGGTGGCATTCACGTCATCCAGGTCGGCTCCCTTGGCCCCAGAGCAAGGCCTCGGACAGACTCAGCTGTTCGCCCTAGCAGCCCATGCTCTGGCAGCCAGGACCAGGCAACTCCGTCCTGAAGCAGAGTCTGGGTAGGACATCACAGCATCTACTAGAGTCACTGTTGTTACAACGGCTTTGGAGAAGGGAGGCATCAAAAGGGGAGACAATTAGTCTTGAGCTTTTCATCCTCCCCACATGTTAGACACTTTAAACCCAGACATATATGAATGGCAAGGTATTCCAGAACAAGCGATTTCTTTTTCTGTCTTAGGGTGCTGAAGAGGATCTGTTTTCATCTCCAGAATAAGCTAATTTGATGTGTGTGTTGGGGTGGGGGAAGCAGCAGATCCACTGTTCTTTGTAGCCACTAAGGGGAATTTCCTATAATTCTCCTTGCCAGCTCCATAAAAGAATTCCATCTTGTATGATCCTGTCCTGTATGAGGATTGCCTTGAAGTGAGTTATGCACTTTCATTACTTTTCAAGAAATCCCTTCTCAGGCTGCCAATGACAAGTTGCTATCAGTAATATAAAGAAACTGTTTATTTTGTAATAGCTGAAAGCCTCTGAGCCAGGGCCCACGGGGGATTCCTAAGAAGAGGTGCCAGTCTCCCGCTAGAAAGGCTCCCTCCTGCCTCCTCCCCACACACAGGCACTTGGTGATAGACTGAGTGATGGGATTCTGAAAGCACCCACAGAAGTACTGTGATGTGGTTCTGAGTACCCATAGATGTCCCGTAAATACCTGCAGACTGATTTAGACTCATGGCTCATCTGTTAACTGGATTTCGTGCTGTTTGGTTTATAAGCATCATGATGTCATTTTCCCCTTTATTAAAGAAAGTTATTAAGGTAAAGCATGTCTATTCTGGCAACATCATGAGATGAACTGTGTTTTCATAAGTCTTCCTGCTTTGTTAGTCTCTTTACAGCACATTTCTTTGGCTAGTTATTCAAGCAACTCTGCCTTTGTTCATTTCTAATAAAGATATAGCATATAACAGTGAAATAACAACATCAAGAATTTTCATACATTGAGGGTTTTTTTTTTCCCTAAAGAAAACTTGATAAGCACCCTTTGTTTTTCTGTAGCATCCATGCTGCATATTTTGTGGTGGTGTTGTCACTAAAACGTAGTGTTTCATCTGAGGCAAAGGTACAAGCCCTCACTCTCCTCAGAGCCGGGAAGGTTTAAACCAACTCCGCAGGTGACTCACTGCCTCTCTCCCTCTCCTCTCCCTCTGCAGAGGAGGGGCCCTGCAGGGAGGGGACGGGGACAGTCCATTGCTACAGTGACCTGGGCGCTTGAATGGCACAGTGCCACTCACCTCCTCACTCATGGGGAAATCGGGAGGGGCAGATCTGATGTCCCTTTTTATCCCCAGAGGCTTCACACAGATACAGCTCATGACTGAGTCATTGCTGGAGACAGTGAGTGCACTTTTCTGTTACCTCCTTATTAGCAGTGCCGGAAAGCAAAGGCATGAGCTAAGCAGTCATGATGAACACCACAAATTGGTCATGTAAGAGGCAGTAGGCTTTTGATGGTTACATCAGAGATCTAGATTTGTTCTGAAAAATGTTACTGAGCTATTTTGTTTTTAAAATCAGACTGATGAACTCATCTAATGGATGGGTTACAGTGTGCTGGTCTGGGAGGCAGGTGAAGCCCATGTTTGGATCCTTTTAAAAGCAGCCAGGTGACCTTAGAGATGTGGCCAAATCACCCTGAGGTATAGGGTCCTCATCGGTTGTACTAGCTGGTACTAACACTGACTCTTTCACAGGTCTTCATGGGTCAGATGAACTAATGGCAGCAAAGTGTTGGACTCATACCAAGTGCTTGATAGAGAGGCTCCGTGACTTAATGGTAGGTTGTGTCCCCACAAACCCATCATAAGTTGAACATATCCTAACTTAAAAGTATATCGAACACTCCGAACTCCCTGAATGTCATAGCTTCGCAACACAATGCACTGTAGAATGGCAGTTGCTTCCCCTGTTGCTATGTGACCAGCTGGGAGCTGTGGTCACTGCTACTGCCCGGTACCTTTAGATGTGCTACTGCACATCACCACCCAGGAAAAGATCAAGATTCAAAACTTGACCTCTGATATCTACTAAATGCACATTATTTCCTCACTATTGTCAAGTTGAACTATCAGAGGTCAGGGTTGTCAGCAGTTGCTGTTATCATTCCTAGGATAACCGTATACTATGACATCCAAAACAAGATACTGACAGTGAAGGTGGACATAAAAATGATCAACATGATAAATTTTCTGAAAGATTTACTTTTTTTTTTGGTACCAGGGATCAAACTCTCATCTTTGCACTTGTGCAGCAGGTGGTGAAACCTCTGAGCTAAATCCCTGGCCAAGATTTACTTATTGACCAGGAAATCGATTTTCTGAAATACTGGTGGACCTATGAAATGTTTCTATTCAGAATACTATTTTCAAATATAAAGCTCTTTTGAAGAAATAAAATAACATAAAATACTGTGTACAGTAAAACAAATCTGAAATTTTTCTTTGTGTTTGCCATAGAACATTAAAACAGATTGGGCAGAATAATTAACCGTGGCACATAATAATTATGTACTTACATCAGTTTCTTGGTCTATTGTTTTATTTTTCTGGAAATTATCTTTTTCACTGGTTTTACTTTTTAAAAAATTTTCTTTCTCAAAACTGTCTGAATTTGGGGGTTAATAAGTTTGAAATTGTTGCTATTTCAATTGACCTTTCTCTGGGGACCACAGTATACATAATGGAGAAAATATAGATGTGGAGGTCTCTTTTGAGCTGAGAACAACTATAAAATAAAGGCTATTCTAAGTTTTAATTTTGAAAGTATTGAAATGTGTCAATAATTCAGCTTCAATATCTACTTAGGAAATGTTGGCCTCTATTCAGAGTGCTTTCCTCTGACAAAAATGTCAGTGGTACAACTTGCCAATAAATTGTGTCTATTTATAATTCTTTGGAATAGTTCACCAAATTTAGGTGATTCCGAATTGTAGCACTTCTCCATTACAGTCTATTCTGGGGAAGGATTTAAATGTATTTAAATAGTAATAGGAAGAGCACCAACATCGTCTTCTTAAAGGTTGAGTTAGTCCAAGAAACAATTATAGAACTTCAGAATTAAATCTTGTGCTTCATGACAGCCCTCGCTGCCCCTCCCTGGCATTGCTTTGGCAGGATACACGTCAGGGTCTCCTGGCTGCGGGCAGGTGTCACAGCTGCAGCCTGCGAGGTCACACAGAGCCCGGCGTGAGGAGGCCCGGCTCGGCTCTGCTGTTACATCCCCAAACAGCTCTTCATTTTCTATTCTCTTTTCTCCTCTTCCTCTTCCCCACCTCCTGCTGCTCCTTCTCCTCCTTCTTTTCAGTACTACAGTTTGGACCCAGGCCTCATGAGCTACAGGATCTCACTAAATTGCCCAAGTTAGGTTTGACTTTGCAAACTTGCCTTAGCCTCCCAGGCATGTGCCACTAGGCCCAAATAACCATCTTGAAATTCGTTCTCTTTTATCAGTGCTGGGGATTGAGCCCAGGGATTCATGCATGCTAGGTAAGCACTCTACTACCGAGCTGTTGCCATCCCCCATCTGGAAATTCTTAATCTTCGAGTAAAGGACCTTGCATTTTCATTTCATACTAGGTCCTACAAATTATGTAGCTGGTCCTGCCTATTTGTCAGCTTAGTTTTTGATAGTAGCGATTCTCTGAAAGTTTCAAGCTCAAGAGTTGAAAGTTTTTAAAATTTGAATTTATTGTAACTGATAAATAAAAACATTACAACTGTATATATTTATGGGGTACCATGTGAGGTTTTGATACATGTATACGTTGTGTAGTGTTTAAATTAAGTTAAACATCTCTGTCTCCTCAAACATTTGTCTTTTCTTACTCTAATCCAAGTATATTTCTGCTCCATGCCCTCTTAATTTAGTAAGACTATTGTTTCCACCAGGATTCTGCCCATCAAAATTTATTACCTCAAAAACAAATTTTTTCTTCAGTGATGAAACCTTTGGATTTGTAGTAACAATCAGAATGATATTAGATTTTTCCTCTTTGAAAGAAGAACTTTGCAAAGGTTTAATTTTATTCCATGAATTTGGTTTTGAAAGCAGTGAATCATTAGTAGAATTAACTGGTTTGGCAGTAGAAGCATCTGGTGATGCTGATATAAAAGTGGTGTGACACCCATTAGGATGGCTATTTTAGAAAAGATAAGAGATAAATAGTGGTGAGGATGTGGAGAAAAGGGAACCTTGCATACTCTGGGTAGTGATGTGAATTACTGCAGCCATGATGAAGGTTCCTCTGAGGATTAAAAATAGAAAAGTCATGTGCCCCAGCAATTCCTCTGAGTAATTACCCAAAGGAATGGAAATCAGCACTTCCTAGATTGCTACACTCCCATGATCACTGCAGCATTATTCTCAATAGCCAACATATTGGAATCAACCTAAGTGTCTATTCACAGATGAATGGATAGAGAAATTGTGATATACAGGCACAATGGAATGTTGTTTAGCTTTTTATATAAAAGGATATCCTGGGGCTGGTTATATAGCTCCACTGTAGAGCACTTGCTAGCATGTGTAAGGCCTTGGATTCAATCCCCAGCACTGAAGAAAAAAAAAAGATACCCTGCCATTTGTGACAACATTGATAAACCTAGAAGACATTCTGCTAAGTTAAATAAGCCAGACACATGAAGAAAATACTGCATAAACTCTTACATGTGGAGCCTAAAAAATTACATTAAAAAGAGGTTGAACTGACCAGGGCTTAAGGCGGCCAGGGACCTCTCTCTCTCTCTCCACCAGCGAGGACATTGTCCGCACCACAGAGGCCATGGACTGGAAATTTATGAGTGATGCCAGCCGAGCCTTCAAAGGCATCAGCCTCCAGCTTGGGAGGATTCTTCATTCCAAGGGAAGCATCCAAATTCAGCTCTGAAAATAAAATCACAGCCATGTGATCCATCATTATCTATGACCTTACTGGGATGTACTCTTCCACCCAAGAGGTTCATCAGATGTTGTCAGGACAAGAAACTCCAAGGGGAAAACAACCAGGTTATCTTGGCAAAGATCTGAAAATTCCCCAGAGGACTGACACTGTCAACTTCGGGACTTACTATAAAGCTGTAGTATGGAATACAGGATAGAATTGGTGAAGAAAGGAAAAATCAGAAAACAACATCAATGCAAAACAATGCAGGTGCTAGAAACAGGTCTACATAAATAAGTCAAGTGATTGTCACCAAAGGTGTGATTTCACAGAGACAGGACGGTCTTTTTACTAAGTGGAGATGGAACAACTGGACATCCACATGCAGGTATAAGTAAATCTAGACAGAGTTCTTACACTCTTCATAAGATACATCAAAGATATAAAAAAGAAGTATAAAACTGTGAGACCCCTGGCTGGGCTTTGGACACGGCGTGAACCTCCAAAGTTTCATGTGATGGAAGCTTGGTCCCCAGTGTAGTGCTACTGAGTTCAGGGTAGGGAAGGGGATACTGGATGATCAGACCATGGGGCTCCTCCTCCATGATCAATACAGTTCTCAAGGATGGCAGCACCAGGCCAGCTCCCTGGAGAACAGGCTCTAAAAGAAGCAGCCCCCTCTCTCACTCACCATGTTTCTTCTCTCACCATGTGCACTCCATTGCCCACGCTCCCGCTGTGAGATGTCAGCTTCCACGTGGTGACACAGCAGAGAGCCTCACCAGATGCAGTCACCTATCCAGCCTCCAGAATTGTAGGCCAAAGTAAAACTCTTATCTTGGGGTAGAGATTTAGTTGAGGTGGTAAAGAACTTGCCTAGCATGTGCAAGGCCTTCAGTCAATGCCCAGCACTGAAAATCCAAAAAAGAAAAACACAAAACCACAACGAAAGAACTCTTGTCTTTATAAAGTTCCCAGATCCAAGTATTCTCTGAAGACAACTCTTAAATGGTAATATAAAAAAAATCTAAGTGACCTTTAATGATGACTTCTTAGATACAAACTATCCATGAAAGAAAGCATCATTCATGAGAGAAAAATATCAGTAAGCTGAACTTCATTAAAGTTCAATAGTGCTGCTTGTGAAAGGCATGGTTAAGAAACAGAAAAAAAACAACTCACACGCTGGGAGAAATTATTGTAAAATACAGATCTAGTGAAGGATTGATATCCAAAACACAGAGAATACATAAAACTTAATAATAAAAAAGTAAACAACATGTTTTAGAAATGGGCTACAGGTCTGGGCATCTCTCCAAAAAAAAAAAAAAAAGTGGCAAATAAGTATATGAAAAGGATGATCAAAACTTTTGTACATTTGTGAAATAGGAAGACCAAGTCCAAACGGGAAGGGGAACTGGGAGGCCTAGGGGAAAGGAAAGAAGGGAAAATAATAAATATGAGAAAAGGAAAACATGGAAACAAAGTCTTTATAAATAGGGAGGGGTAGAGCGGTGGAAGCATTGAAGGGAGGGCAGGGGACTGGGGAAAAAATAAGAAGCAAGATACATCATGTAAAGTTACAAATTCCCAATGATGAGTGTCATCATATTATATACCTAAAACGTACCAATGAACTTAATGAATAATAAAAAAGATTACATTAAAAAGTTGAATATATAGAAACAGACCATAGAAGCATGGTTACCAGGGTAGGCTGGGGGGAAGGTTATGGAATAGGAGATGTAGGTCAGAGGGTTCACGGTTGCATTTATGTAGGATGAAGAATCTAGAGATCTAAGTAGAGCATGTATACTTGAGTATAATAAATATTTTACTATACACTGGAAAATTTTCTAGGACAGTAGATTTTAGGTGCTCTTACCACACACATAAAA